ATTAACAAATATTATTAACAATTTTAGGTTCAGTGTCATTGACAGAAACTGTTCCGATTGCAAATATGTCGAGATGTTTACCCACCGCGTTGGCAGCATAGGCGCACCGAGCAGAAGGACAGTGTTTATTAGAGGGACAAACACCAAACAGTGAGAAGTCCCTAAGATTGCTGGGAGGAACACGAAGGCTAATATTTTCCAAAAGAGAAGCGCAGGATTTAAGACCACGAAAAACCTGAACAAAAAAAAATGCATCAAGGTGATGTCTCCATTTATGTAAAGATTGTAGACTTAATTTCTCTAAAGCATCAGTATAATTATATGAAATATGAGGGGAAAACGATAAAAACAGACGGACGCAAACTTCTGCTGGATGCGCGCTCAAGCTTATTGGCATCAGTCGAGGTGATGGAGTTCCAAACTACTGAGGTATATTCCAACTTGGACCTGACTGAAGTAAAATATAGTACATACAAACTCTCCAGGGAGGAAAACCTGTAGGTAATGGAGAAAATAATGCCGAAAAGCTTTATGCATTCAGAAAATATGTAATTAACACGTGTGTGAAAATGTAACTTTGAATCAAAGAAAACACCCAGGTCCTTAATACTGCTGGTGCGTGTAATGATAGCATGACAAAGCTGATACTCGTAGCTCAGAAAATTTGTTTTTCAGGTGTACGATACAACACGCGTTTTAGCAATATTAAGTTTCATGGAGTTAGCAGTGCACCAGTCACTTACGGAATTAATGCCAGATTGAAGTAAGAGGCAATCATGTGGAGAGTTAATAATGCGGAGAAAATTTAGATCATCAGCAAAAATTAGAAATTTACAGTAGTCAACGGAGTCGCATACGTCATTTATAAACGCGGTGGAAAGAAAAGGCCCCAGAACAGAGCCTTGCGGCACACCGGACGTTACGTGAAAAGGCAGGGCGAGAGTGCCAGAAACGCGAACCAGAGATTGTCTGTTGGCTAAGTAACTGCGAAACCAGCTAACATAAGCATCAGAGAATCCGAAGGAGCTCAATTTATGCAAGAGCATATTATGAGGGACGAGGTCAAAAGCATTAGAAAGATCAAAATAGACAGTATCAGCTTGATGCTGACCGCGGACAACAGGCGTCAAGAAGTCGAGAAACGTCACCAAATTGGTAACTGTAGATTTAGTTCTGGTAAAGCCATGTTGGTTGGAATTAAATTTAGAGATATGATAAATAATAATAATAATAATAATAATAATAATAATAATAATAATAATAATAATAATAATAAAAGCTCAAGCAGTACAGACAAAATACAAAAATAAACGTAAAATTACTCACTAAAACTACATAATTAAGAGCTTCATAACTTGTATTCTTTACCAAGTATGATTAGAGTGATCAAGTCAAGGAGGATGAGATGGGCAAGTAGCACGAATGGGGAAGAATATGAATTCATATAGGATATTGGTGGGGAAGCCAAAAGGAAAGAGACCAGTAGGAAGACCAAGACGTAAGTGGGTGAACAATATTAAAATAGAAAGAAAGGGTCGGATGTTATGGACTGGATCGATCTGGCTCAGGATAGGGACCGGTGGAAGGTAATGAACCTTCGGTTCCATGAAATGTTGGGAAGTTCTTGAGTAGCTGCACAGTTGGCGGCTTCTCAAGAAGGGCTCGGCTGCATGAGTGAGTGAGAAAGCTATTTACTAAACATAATGTGATGTATGAGCCTGATCGCCTCAGCAAAGACGGTTGAAATTAAGTGTCATATTTTGCCAAGTGAATGCAAGGTAACGTTGCATTCTAAGTCCACATTGATATGGCTGGTCGCCTGAGAAGGCTTCAGTGTTTGCAGTGACTGTGAAAGCTTCGAATGCTATAAACTGAACGTATATTTGGGACTGCATTAACTTTGTTTCTGCTGATCCATTGAAATAAAGGATTTTATTCAGACAGAAAATATTTAAATGCCGCCATATTTTAAGTTGCAGTTTTGAAAATTCTGATTAAGTTTACAAACCAATTTCACGGTGTAAAAACCAAAACATGAACGTGCATGTGCACGAAAAAAATTACCGCCGAACCACGATCATCGTGCCGTCTGCTTCTGTTGGTTTCTTCATCCTAGAAGACAGTGGCTGTCTGCTTCTCCGAACTGCACGCCGCTGCAACCTAGGACGTCGTACTCTACGTAGTGACCGCCGTCAGAACGTGACTTGGCCTTTCCCACTTATGAAGTACTCGTATATAGACACCTTATAATACTCACCGATGTCATTAACTGTATGAATTTGCCCATTGAAAGAACAAATCATTGGAGACGGACTGGTTACTGTAATTACTGGGCTAAGACAATGAAATAAATTGACTTTGTACTTGAGTTTCTCATTGTATTGACTGTGAAGGTTACGGGCTTGTGGGTCGTAATGTCGTGTAGTTCGGAAAGATCCCGACGTTTCGGAGCAACTTATCGCCTTCATCTTCAGAGTCGAAGAGCAAGCGATCAAGAAGCAGACGGAGCCGCACTTCTAGAAGACAACACTGCGTTACAACACCGAACATAGTCACAACAGTGAGAACCCCAATTCCAGCAATAACAAACTGATGTTAATATTACAGAAACAGGAAAAATTGTCGGTCGTACACACGCAGCCTTTCTAAAAGTTGCCTCCGTCCTGACAGTCAT